CCCCCACTGCGATGGAAAGATCAGGTGGAGAAGGACTTGGCTTCACTTGGCGTTTCCAATTGGCGTCAGTTGGCACAGAGGAGAAACGACTGGCGTGCTTTGCTGAACTCGGCCAAAATCGCTTAGGCGGTTACAGCGCCAAAAAAGAAGAAAAAGAAGAAGAAGAATTATAATTGATTACTAATTCCTCGGTTAAAAACACTAACTGAATTATTCATTGCGATTACCGAACCTATGTAATCGTTTTGATTAGTAATCGTAATCTAAAGTTAACAGGTCTGATTTTACTCAACCCGCCGTTTTTAGCCGTTTTAAAGAAAACGGGATTTCCTGGGCTATCATGCTATTACAAAAGGCGAGTTCTTCGAAAAAAATAAAAGCTTTTTTGGGTGTCAACCATGTTGAAAAAAATTGTTGCTGCTAATATTTGCGAAAGTTCCATGAAACTGTAAGAAGAAAAAACGCGTATTTTTTGCAAATACATATTTATCAAAGAAAGATGAAAATTATGGAAAACAATTTGGAAAGGATGCTAAAATATTTAGATCTGGAAACACAGCGTTTCTTGCTGATGAAGTTCTTTTCGAAATCAAAAAGCCAACTGTGTCGACCATCAGCCGGATTCTATGTTTCGCTATCGCTAAAATGCTAAAATAGGAAAACTAAAATTTTTCCAAATTTTTAGTTATCTCCAAAAATTACGGTGCTGTCCTCCCTTTCGCTAAAAATAGCTTAGCCTACATTTTTTGGTGATAAATAATCCATTATAATGGTGATAAATAGTGAAAATGGAAGTATGTGATAGCAAAAAAAAAAATAGCAACCTCAATTTGGATTACATTTCATCTCCTGTAGCGTAGTCGTGGCTATGTTACAAATACTACACTTGCGCCGATTCGCAAAGATTATTGATGAGCAGCCTTCTCAAAAAGGCAAATCCTTGAGAGAATTTACGGATTGAAATTTCGAAATTTTTTACTCAAAGTGAATAGAGCTTTGAACATTAATTTCACATATGTATTAGTTTCAAAAACATTCGAATGAGTATGGTAAGAAAATAACTTGTGTCAAAACCAAGCTAATTGGACAAAGTTTTTGAGTGCTACCACAGAATAAACAGCATACAGAAGACACATGTCGACTATCGAACTAATTTGAATTTATGGCACGAGCGGTGAGGCAAGCAAGGGTATCACAAGCGGCGCTGCCTCTGTTACTTTAGCAGTATTTTCACTCGGCTGACGCTGTTAATTCCATCATCCCTATGACGACAAGATGTTAACTAACTTCGTTTTCCATCACGATCAGCGTTGCCGTTTTGATACAATTGTATAATTTTTAATATTTTTTTTTTCTAAATTGTAATATCTGATACTTTTTTGTTCCCAAATGGCGTATTTTAATACTTTCGGCTGGCAGAAATGACTTTCTTAAAACTATGAATAGTATTACTAGTCTAAAGGCAAATATTTTTTTTCTTGTTATTTAAAGTTTCACAATTTATATATAGATATTTATGAGGTTGATTTGGTAACTCTAATAAGGTAAACACAACCCGCTGTTATAGGGTTCCTAAACCACACAAAAACATTACGCAATATCTTGCGTCGGTCGTTTCTGTGGTGTATGGGGTCGTTTGTACTAAATTGCACCGTTATTGCGCTAAAATAAAAATTATTTTGATATTTTGCTCACGTTTGTGTTATTATAAAATAATTTGTGCTGCGTATGGCGACAACTGCGAAATTTTTAGTCTAGTTTTGATTTTGGTGTCCAGATCGTGCTGTAAAAAAATGGATAAAAGCGTAGAAGAAAATAAATTTTTTTAAAGTTTTTTTTTTACGTTTTAAAGCTGAAGCTATCAAAATATACAACGCACATTCATATGTCTTGCACATATTTACTTGATCAACGTTTCTTCAAAATAAGGCTTGCGGAATTTTATGCTGTAGTAATTTCCACAATATTGAGTTGTACAAGTCTCGGGTTTCGCAAGGATTTTGTGTGGTTTAGGGCCATATAAGTTTGTTCCTCGTTATGCAAATAAGCAGACAAAAGCAAGAAATATAATTTTTTTTTATAACTATGGATTTAATTATAAAATGTTATTTATTTATTTTTTTTTTAAATAATAGTTTAACAAACAACAGTTTTGTTTGCTTTTGACACTATTTCAGCTTGGCAGCTGATACATTTTTTTCAAGCTCGTGGCAACGCTGATTACGATGTGTGTTTGTGGCGAGAAGTTAACTTCATGTTATTCATAGTGGACGTGATGTTAACTCCTCTCCTCTGTTCCGGGTCGCCATGTTATTCATAGTGGTCGTGATGTTAAAGTATGTTCACATATAAATATTATCTCGGTCAAAGCTCGTTTTTTAATCACCCCGTTTACACAGGCAAATCTCAGATTAATATCCGTAAAATTTTTTGGGCTTGTTATTCTCACATCTCAAGGAAAGGTTATGTTTCTTCTCTGTGCCACCGTGATCACTTTTTTCTGCAATATAAAGCAATTTAAATATGGTTTAACTTAATATTTTATTAAAAATACCTTTACAAACCTCTTTTCCTTGCTAGCGTCCTATTTTGTTTACTTTTACATTTGGCTTTTCTCCTCTTCGCAAAAATAATCGATAAAAACAAGTTGGACACCGAAAAGTTATCGGTTAAATCTGAGATTATTTTATAATTACAGATTAACAAGGGACGAATTTTGTATGGCTAATCTCTTTTTCTAATTACAGATTAGGGAGTTTAGCTCGAAAATAAGGATAATCTACTTATATGTGAACCTAGTATTAACTTCTCTGCTCTGGTCCGGGTTGTAATATTACGTCTGTAGAAGAAAAATAAATTTGTATGTGGGGCGTCTTCTGTATACTGTTTATTCTGTGGTACTACTTAAACACATATACTCATCATTTGAATACACAAAAAAGCAGAAAAGTCTGTTTTACGGAAGTCAAGTCATGTTTTCACATTTTATTTACTGCCTTTACACTTTTTTAACGTTTGCCATCTTTTTACATTAAAATAATGCAATAATTTAGCTTCTATTCATTTCGCATAGAAAAAGTAATCATTCGACCTAATGTGCAGTGTGGCGAATTAAAGCAACCACCGCAGGTTTACGAAAATAATTTCGTTAAATGTACGAATTATTTTGGGGCATTTTTCAAAAGTAAAAACAGAACAAAGAAATAATACGAAATTCTTTAGTAAATAGTACGAACGCATTCGTAAAGTATACTAAAGATCTGGGCTCGAATCGTAACATCCGTCCACGGATCGAAAAGGATACGAAAGAAAATTACGTGATACGTCAGGCAGTATAAGCTGAATGGGACAAAGAGTACGTTGACGTAGGCTATAATCCGAAAAATGTGTTTTTACGTGACGAGTAATATGATAACGTATGTTACGATTCGAGCCCAGATGTCTCATGTTTTCGTAGAATGTACGAAAGCGGTTTTGTACAATTAACGAAAATTTTCGTGGCTCAAAATGACGAAAAATTTCGTAAGATGTACACAAGTTTTCGTTATATTTACGAAGATTTTATTTTCAGTGTAATATTTCATGTACCGTTTTTAGCTTGAATTCGATATTAATATAAGTTTAGCGGCTGTGGCTCCGACACAGCCCGCAGGTCAAGACAAAGGTGCTGGACTAATCCTTTTTATCTCTTCTTACTAATTGCAAACTCTGATCAATGAAAAATATATGTGCTCTGCTGTAAAAACTACAAAACTGCTTATTACAAGCTTTTATTTTTGTTTTTATAAATAAAGTATGTTGTCAGTGTTAATAAACAAACTACTAATTTTTGTCGTTATAAACTCCTCAGTACCGAAAAACCAAATAATTACCTAGAAAATCAAAATTTGTACATTTAATAAACTTTTATTAATACAAAACTCCTATATGTATGTAGAAATAACACACGTTCTACAAATGGATGTGTATAACATTGCTGGTGCCGGCGTTGAAGGTGATGTTGGTATTGGCCTTAAAGTGATAGTGGCGATGTTCAAGGTGATGGTGGCGATTTTGCTGGTGGAGGCGTGGAATGTTGATGGTGCCGATTTTGCTGTTGCCGGTGTTGAAGGTGATGGTAGACACAAAATTCCTATAAAAGTAAGAATTCCGCTCTAACAAAATGAAAACTTTTCACAATTCGAATAAAAAATGTATAAATGTGTGCGTGTGATAGCTAAACAGTTGCGTAGCTGTGTGTAAATCATTTAAGTTTAAGTTTAAGTTTAAGGGGAAACTGCTCAGCCATGTCTTGCAGGGAATGCTGCCTGTCATTGCTCTCTCCTTTGGTATTTGTGCAAAGATGGTTCTGAGAAGGCAAACTTTTTCCGAAGAAAAGAACCCGCCATTAGCTTTGATCCAATACTTTTCGTGTAAAATCCTGTAAAAATGTCAAACAACAAAATTTCTCTCTGAAGTGAGACTACATAGTGAGTAACAATCAAAAATTGCTGGAACAAAAAAGCATTTTTGCTGTAAAAACGTCAAACAGCCGATCGCTTGACACTTTTCATGATTTTACCAGAAGAAAAAGTTCGGGTAAAATCTTGCAACATCATTCTCTGCACAGCTCTCCAATCATTTACAGGATTTTGGAGTCCGCGAACATTTTTCCTGTAACTTCATGCAAGTTCGTGTAACAACCTGTAAGTTCATGGAGTACTTGATCAGAGCTATTAATTGTTGAGTAAAACTTTGCAATAAACCGCTACCATTTATAGCATATTTTACCAAATTTTGCTTTTCTTGCCTAATAGCGGTAAAGAACTGTAATCATTTAAGACACGAAATATCGTCATTGAGCAAAAAGTAGCTAAAACCAATATTTTAAAAATCGGCTTTATCAGGGCTTCTGAAAATTTTATTTTCCTTGAGTAATTCATTTGCACTTGAGCTCGACCGACACAAATTGCGTTTTGTGTTTTTGTGGAGTAACTTCAAAAATTCTTAACTTGTAAACCCACATTGAAAAAATATTATTAGAAATCAAAATTTTTAGTATTTATTGAATATGGTTTGGTTAAAAAAATTGAGGGCGGATCAAATCGTATGGGAGATATTTTCGACTATGCGCGTATATCACAGAAGGATTCTACGTGTAATTATAAGCAAATTTGCCGAAGAAAATAGGTCTCTTAGCATTTTGCTGTAGTGTCGTAAAGAAGGCCTTAACATTTTGTATGAAAACATTCTATAAGAGGGTTTTTCGTATGAGGAGTCCATTTATGCACTTATCTTTTTCATAAAAATTCCTTCAGAGAGCGCAACAGTGAAAATTTTCACATTTTCTTCGAAAGCTATTTTCGCAATTTGGCAAACACCAAATTGATTTTAGACTAGGGCTGCCAGACGTCCCGGTTTTCCCGGACATGTCCCGGTTTTAGACTATTTGTCCCGGTGTCCCGGTCCAATCTTAAAATGTCCCGGGTTTCGTTTAAGTGTCCCGGCTTTCGATTTGATTGCACAAATTTTGCATAAAAATGACTATACTGAGAGATAAAACGCGTTGTAATATTAAGAAAAATTTTATGAATTTAAAAAAATTTAAAAACAATACTTTCATACCACGCACACGTGGTGTTGAATCAAACTGAACATTTGAATGCACATTTACATGTCTGGCTGTAGCTGAGTGCACGAAGATGCTTGCCACAATTTGCTAATTTCCAGAGCGTCATGGTTCAAATCCCATTACAGGCAGCATGGAATTTAGATATTTTTTAACTTAATTATGAAAAAGCATCCCATAAGTGCAAAGCGCTTATTTTTAATATTGGCGTATTTCAGTTGAATAATTCTATACTAAATACTAAAATTTGTATTCTTAAATTTATTACGAGTTGGGTTGGTGCTCCTTCATATGCGAATTTTTTTTTTAAATTTAGCACGTTTTGCACAAGCAATAGTTGATGATTAATATAAGTATGTACCTAAATACGTTAAAATGACATGCACAGAGTTTTACAATTATATTAAGCAAAAGCCAGAAGTTTTGAAACAAGTTCACAGCAACGAAACAAATGACTGATATTTTAATGTTACCTTGTATTTAATTTTTTTTTTTCGTTAGACCTAGATTACTTAGTTATAAGTACCGCGACGTACAAAATTATTGGCTCGGAGACTCTTTCATCTCATCACAATTTCTAATCAGATCTTTTAGAAAAATTTTGAAAATGTAGCTTTTGAGCCAATTAGTAAAGTGCAAGTCTCAAGTTACCAGAAAATTTCGTTGATTTTTTGCAATTATTTATTTTTTGCTGACAGTGTCTTCCACATACCAAAAAATGTCGAACATAGTTTGTATGGAAGAAACTCTCAGTAAAAAAAATACCAAAAATCAACTAAATTTTTATGGGCTGCAAAATTTTATTTTCAAAATTTTTATACAAAAGTCTGAATGGAAAGTTGCGAATTTGTATGCAAATTTTTTGCTTTTGAGCCAATTAGTAAAGTGCAAGTCTCAAGTTACCAGAAAATTTCGTTGATTTTTTGCAATTATTTATTTTTTGCTGACAGTGTCTTCCACATACCAAAAAATGTCGAACATAGTTTGTATGGAACAAACTCTCAGTAAAAAAAATACCAAAAATCAACTAAATTTTTATGGGCTGCAAAATTTTATTTTCAAAATTTTTAAAAAAAAGTCTGAATGGAAAGTTGCGAATTTGTATGCAAATTTATTGCATTTTCCCGAGTTTTGCACAAAGTTTAGAAATTTTATTTTTATGTTTTCTGATGTATTTAGTATAAACTGTATTTTTATAAGGAACAAAAAAGGAACATGCATTGTGAAAAATTCTCTGTGCTTTAGTTGTGATAAATTGTTTTGTTTTGCTGATGTACGTTGTAATGATCTCATGATCTCATGTTTTTATGTTTTTGTTTTTGTTTGTCAAAATAAAATTTTACTACATCCTTTCGTACGTAATTTTTGTCGAAACGAAAGGGAAGGGAGCGAGAGGCCTCTCCCCTCCCCCCCCGTAAGTGTCCCGGTTTGGTAACAGAGATATCTGGCAGCCCTATTTTAGACCCATAAGTGCTACATTTTTGAAAGTAAATATGTATTTTTTTTTGTTATTTAATGGCCCTATAGCAATTATATTGCAAAATTTCTATTGAGCTTGAGGCCGGTTTTAATGAATCCCACTGAAAGAAGTCTGATGAGGAAATGTGGTGATTTTCGAAATAGCTACAATCACCTCTACCATTTTTTTCAAAATCTATCTATTATTCTGAAACAAGGCGCTTATTCCCAGCTATCTACAAATCGTACAGAGGCAAATTATACATCAAATTAAAGAGCTCCACCTGAAACTTTGCACAAATTGTTCGGATTTCAGATTCATTGAACCATTTTCGAAATATTTGCGTCGAAAGATTTAAAAATGTTTACATTGAGCAAAGCATTGCTACGTTCATTTCGCTAGGCAGCGTCTCAGCGGGACATAAGAGAATGAAAAATTGTTCCATTTATTCGCTTTCTTCTCTGTTTTTGTTTCATATCGATCAAAGCTTTTCTAGGTTCGTGTGCATGTAGGCAGCGATACAGCGGAAGATCTGCAAAGAAAATGTTCCCTTTGTCTCTAAACATACAAACACAACGTTGTTACCACGGTTGGCATCTCCAATTTATTTTTCGGTCCAAAAAATAGACCAAATGGTAAAAAATTGACCAATTTTTATTACATCCGGAAATTGAGTGGAGTTTATTCCTCTTTATCAAGAAAATATGCCAATTCAGTTTTTATGACGATTTTTTTATATTGCATCCAAAGTGCATTACAATTGTATATTACTAACATTATAAAGTATTGTTCACTCAAAATCGGTATGCGTGCAAGCAATTCCTGTACAGCAATTGTTGAAATGTATTAAGAAGTTGCATTGCAGATCGTTAGACAATTGATCTACCATTATGAGGTTGAATTTCATAGTACTGGCTTTTAATTTGTCAGTTTTATTCGTGTTGGGAGTGGCTGCCCAAAAAATAATGTTGAACAAATTCATTGAAAATCCCACATTTTCGAGATCAAAAATCAAATTAAAATTAAATACAGTGAACAAAAAAAGTTTACGTACACCCAGATGTGAGAAGAAAACTCGAATGAATTAAATATTTCCTTTCTCAGTAACTCCTTTGACGTAATCCTATGCTTCCTAATCCTTTTTTTCCAACAAATTCCAGATGTACTCAATTGGGGTTATGTCTGGAGATTGTGGGGGTGTATGGAGTTGCTTACAATTGTATAGCAGCCATTCTTTTACCAGAAATGAAGTGTGTTTCGGATCGTTGTCCTGTTGAAACACAAAACTTTTCTCATCCAGTCCAAGCTGCGAAGCACTTTGCTTAAGATTATCCTTCAAAATATTTAAATACATATGTTTGTCCATTTTTGAGGTTATATAGACCAGGTTTCCTACGCCAGCCGTGGCCATACACCCCCACACCATCACGTTTCCACCGCCGTGCTTAACAGTTGGAGTTAGATTTTTTAAATGTAAAGCTTCATTGGTCTTTCTCCACACTTTTTTAGCACCATCTGCGCCAAAAATGTTGAATTTGGACTCGTCGCTCCATACGATATTATCCCAAAATGAATCTGGCGTCCACATATTTTCGCGCAAATGCCAAACGCTTTTGTCGGTTCACTTTTGATATGAATGGCTTTTTACGTGGCGTTCGGGCTTTATACCCTTCCTTGTGGAGCACATTTCGAATTGTTTGGGAATGCACATTACGACCAGAGCAATGAAATATTTCCTCTTGTATTTGAGGAGCCGATTTCTTGGGGTCAGTTTTAATGGCGGCCAAGCTTTGGCGTTCATCTTTCGGCGTAAGTTTTTTCGGACGTCCAGAACGAGGCTTCACTTGCAAATTTCCGGAGTTTCCTTAAGAATTTATGATTGCTTGCACACTTGAAGGAGCTCTGCTTACTATTTTGCCAATAGCACGAAGGCTTTTGTTCTCCAAGTATAATTTAAAAATTATTTTACGCGTCCTTACCACGACCCATGGTCACTATTTATTACGAAACTTAAAACAGAAATTATATGGAAACGTAACACAATGAAATTACAAACGTCATAAAAACGATTTA